GAGAGTCCATGTATTATTATTATTAAATGAGTAACGATACAGAAATTGAAAATTAAATAATCAATACTACTACGAATAATTACTTTTTTCTATTTATGATGCGTACCACAGTAGAAAACAAACTTTAGGAATCAGAAAACAAAGGACGCAATCGAAAACACCATAACCCTTTCGAAATTCGAAATAAATGTATATTCGAATAAATAGGACCGATTCTAAAACTGTTACTCCAGAACAAACAATATTACATCGACGAGAATCATTAAGGCAGGGCGATGAAAACCGCAATCGGATTACATTTTGTCTATCCATCCGAGACAATTACCGAACTGATGGAAAGACTAAGATAGTATTTAGCATTGTATTTCTAACCAACAATCAAGAGTATTGCGTTGAAAGGAATTGCACAACGAGGAAAATTATTTCTTACCGGCCAGTAAATTGGAAAATAACAAAAAGAAATAGTGATAAAAAATTTGTAATAATCTGGATTTAGGTCCCAGCCATTACACCATTTTTTTTTTCTAAAGAAGACTAATCGCCAGCAGATCGCCACTACGCGAAAGATGTTGCCCATTACCTTGACTCAATTGTTGGCCATCTAGAGACATACACGAACGATTTTTTCCATTCTACGTAATATACATCAGATATACTATTTATAATATTTATTAAAGTCTTACTGAGTTTTTCCATCGTTAAAAATTTTGGTAACCTCATTTATGGAGGTTTTCATCCATTTTAATTATTATTTATTAGATATAGTTATTTATGACATGAAATATACGCAATGAATTAGAATTTAAATATAAAATATGTTTTTAAAAGCCAAAAGGGCGTTATTTTTGTTTAAATAAAGTCTACCGATATTCCAGCTGTGCGATCTTCATCGGAAGTTATTAATTCTGTGCGACACAAAAAGTTTACGGTTAACATTAGGTCAGTTTCGCAAATTATATTGGCTACCGGTTGGTTAGCGACAACAAAGTCGACGATAAATTTTAACAGCTAACTCGGTAAGCTAACCTGCTATATTAGGATCTAAGCCAGTGCGGTAAGCGTTACTGTTGAATATTCTAAGGTAATAGGATAAGTCAATTGTGTTGAGGGGTGTACTCGGAACCGGCGCCGAAGCCGGGCAGAGTAATTACAAAATTTAATATGCCTATTCAACCTCCTTGTTTCGCAAATCATGTTCGCTCATTAATTCGTCCGCTGTAATGGCATACGTAAAAGTGTTTAACAAATTAAGCATTTAGCCTAAATATATTTAACATAGTTTAAATTATTTTTATGCTAAAAATAATTCTAATTGCCACAGTATATAGACACGCGGTTCTTATAGATTTATTCATCATCTCTCTTAATACCAATGACAATAGCTACACTCATAATAATAGAAGTTATCCAATGTCAAATTATATACACATTTACTTTAAAGGAATTGTCTACGGTTTACAGAGTAATAAGCTAGTAAAAGTCAAAGCTTAATAAATTCTAAGGAAATTTGACATCGAAAGTTATTTTATTCGTAGTGTATTTTTTAAGCGACAGTACTTAGTTACGTCGTGATTTATATTAAATTAGTGGGCGTGTACATAGCTAGTTGCGGTGACTACGCGAAAATGTTGCTGGTTGTACCCGGTGCTCGTTATAATCACGCCGATCGACGAATGCATGAGAACAGTTGATGCATTAATTTCCTTCCTCTTTCTCTTTAAATTTTCCCTTTTTGCAACCTATAATACACCGCGGAGATATGAGACGAGACGGGGATGCTTACGAAAATGTGAAATAATTATATTATGCAGGCAACATTGGTTAACATGTGGAGTAAATTAAGCTACACATTACTTATGAATACTTCAAACTATTTACATTTCATCTCCGGGTCAAGCAAAATTGATGTAACACGTAGACGAAGGGCATAATAAGAAATTAATATCAATTAAGATACGTTAGACATTTTGCCGTACTCGTAGCACATGGTTCTGATATGATTTTTTTTTCGAACCTAAACGCGAACACTTTGCAAACCAAGGCGTCAGTCTTTTTAAAGTGGCAATAATCGAAAAAATATTTTTAATTAAAGCTCGTGACTAATTCTAAATCACGAAATAACATTTTTCAACGGCTCTTGATATTTTTTTTATTTTTCTATCATAGTACAATTCATAGGCGAAATGAAACACCCCCTTTCCAAAATTAACATCATACTATTAATATCAAACTAACATCGTGTTACACAGCTAAATTTTTTTCACTTTCTTAAAATACTTAACTAAGTTATGTTTAAAAACAACAACTATTACCAATGATCTATAAGTTCCCGCTATCTCGAAACGTTCGCACAACAGTCCTGTTCCTAATTTGCTTCAATAAAAAAGATGAAGACGAAATTTATAGAACGTTTACATTAATTGCGTTCGACCGTTCGCGTGTAGGTGTAAGGAGGTTTGGCGCCAAACGCAGGGCGGCGTTAGAAACAAAGAGGCGCGGGCTGATTGCCACACGGTGACTTGCAGCCAGACACGCACCGTGAAATCGGACGCGGGGAACAACGCTGGTTCCGTAACACAACCCATAGGGACCCCGGTAGCTCTAACCAGGAGTACGGGATGGAAAATGCAAAAAATGATTAGCAGTAAATCAATATACAATAAAGCTACAACGGTGTAAAGTACATGCAACAAACAGTAACGTGGCGAACTGGAGAATGAGAAATTTACAAATATATAAGTTAGACGATGACCAAATTAAATACACAACTTCGTTAATCAAGTTGAGATAAGTATTACACTATTAAATTACTTGCTCGGGGTCAAAGACTTTCTCACCGTGACGGATATAAAAACAGATTTTAGAAAGTTTGTTGAGAGTTCAGACCTATTGGGATTCAATTATTCATAACTGTTTACACAAACAAAACATTTGCAGAGAAGACCTAAATATTCTGATGTAATTTAGTTCAAGACGCTCACGCATCTCCAAAGATGGGTACTATTGTCGGCGTATCGCTTACAAAGTATTGGCTACTTATCTATTTATTGATTTAATAGACCCGTACATAGTCGGCCGCTATGAACAAACAACGGTAGTGTGGTGAAAAAATATCGGGCCCCTTTGTGTCGGCAATTGTGTTTAACTAAATCTAAATGATGACGATGTGCATTCTACGGGGACGGGTTTTGGTACACGCCTCTCTATTTTGGTTATGTTGAGCTACTGATATTGCATAAAAAACCTATAAGTACGATAGCAAACGTTATATGTCTACGAAATATATTTTTCCCACATTTGGGGTTTCCCAACTATGTTTTCTTTTACCACCGAATATGTCGTAAATCAAAAGTGGATTTAACAAAATGAATCAAAAGCAAGTATCCCAACATGTTTCATCTTCCCATTTTTTGTACTTTTTTATAAAATTATAGAGGCCGTGATGACATTCTGGATGCACCGCGGTTTAGACTGGCTAAACCAGAAAGTCATTTCTTGATAGATGTATAAACTTACATAATAGTAGAAGTGATTTCCACAAACAACTAAGTGGAAACTTTTCAAACATTTTGTACGGTAAGGACTTATCATAATGTCAAAGAATATATTGAGGACAAGCATATGTGTATAAATCTTGCTCTGCCCTTGCCTCAAGTCCCCTGGCTGCTGATTTGATACCTCACTAATTCTATATACATCATTTTAAAAATAACAAAACCACAGCGTTTCTTGCCGTTTCCTCTCTGGACAGATCTAATTTAGTGAACCGGTGGTAGTTTTTTTTACGTTCAATAAGAACTTAAAACAAGCCTATATTGAATAAATAAACTTTGACTTTGACTATATTCTAGAGTGACACAATCCAATAACGCGTTTATCTCTAATTACTTATTAGAAGCTTAGATCAATAATCAAGGACGAAAACGTAAGAAACAGTGTTCGAAATTCAAACATTCATGAATCCTTTCCCAGACGCGCTTTTTCGGCGGCCAACCATAAATCGATCGAGTTTTCTCTAACCTCCACCCTTTTTGTCTCTGGTAATGAGTGCATTACCATACAAATAGAATCAGTCCGGGCCGGCGGGATAATGAAGTCGGACGCCCCGCTGGCTCCGGGCCTTTGTGGACGCCGGCGCCAACCGCTGCACACGTCCGTGGGACTATTGCTTTACAAATATTGGTTGATGATGATTAAATACACCGGACTCGTATTGATTTGATAATTACGTCGGAAGGCAATTTGCAAATGACTACTATGCAGCCATGGAGGTACAAGTGTTACATTACAGAACGTATAGTATAGTGGTTTCGAAGGCAGTTTTTAATGAAGACAATTAGTTTTCTATTTTTAATTATAAGTGAGGGGTGCTAGTCTGATGCTAGACGTCGGATTTGGTAATCAGAAATATCCTATAAATTTATTGTATCGTATAACTAACAATAACAAAAGTAGGTATAAAGACTACTCTTGAATATTTTATGACACACACAGAAAACTCTTTATTGATTTTATTTTTTGTAATTGCGTCTTCGACATCAATCAGAAACAATCGCCGATTTATAAAAACGTAACTAAATTACAATTAAATGCTAATCAAAACTTCGAATAATGAAGCAACTCCCACAGATTTTAAATATAAGAATCACAATGAATTTTACAAAAAGTTCTTAAGAACAAAAGTTTCGTCTAATGCAAACTGCTTTATCACATCACGATTTCGCGATTTTTTTTAAGTGCTACAGAATAACTTATTGCACTTTTAATACGTCCGCCGACATAAATACACCGATAAAAAACATATTTTACAGTTGAACACGAGCAATCTACCAGTCGTTGGACATTTTTTCTAAATAGAATATACTTATTACTAGTTTTGCCTGGGGCACGCTGTTTATGTACGACCTAAAAATACATGTCATATATATAAATGGCTTATACAATTTTGTATAAGCTTCTATTGTTGTTTCTTCAAACAAATATACTGCGCAAAAACCGCAATGGCTTTGGCTTATCCGGGTAAGTACCTACTGTCGTGAGGAGCTTATTTTTATGTGAAAAGCTGCCAATAGAGTAGACGGTTCACCTGATGTTAAGTGAATACCGCCGCCCATGGACATCTGCTACACCCGAGGGTTTGCAGATGCGTTGACAACCTTTTTTGGAAATTGGGCTCCGGCTGCCTTACACACCAGACGAAACGCGAAAGTATTTGTCATACTTCCACTTTACGCCGGTCTTCTGTGAGGTCGTGGTACTTACCTGGACGAGCCTGCCCATTCGTGCAACAGCCGAGGCTGCTGCGTGGCTCTACCATTAAAAAATGCTATTAAAAAATTGTAATGATCTTTATCCTCTGCTAAATACAGGTTCGAGAGCTTTGTATTATAGTAAGCTAAAGTTAAATATCTTAATTTTAATTTACATCCTTTTTTATTTTATCGTTGTTTCTCTTTTTTATTTTTGTATTTAAGATGTTTTCTATGTGTATAGCATATTGTAAAATCAAGTGTTATGGGTGTATTCTAGAACACTGTGTTCAATCTTGCGGAATGTGAATATAATTGTATATATTTATTAGTCTTAATAACATCTTCTTTTTCGTGGTCTTCATTATTGAAGGTCGTGTCTGTCCTGAAAAATGTTCATAGAATCGGCAACGAGCTGCTTCCAAATCATTCTGTCTTCGGCTTTCTATAGGGCAGTGGAAACAGGGAGCTCGGTTACAAGTTTCATTTGATCAGACCAACGGGTAAATACATTTAATAACATTGTTCTTATTAAATGTATCATTCAGTTTGAACCAAATATTTTTTTAATATATATGTAAAGATTGATAAGAAGATCTTTCAATGTTTTACAGCTTCCGCTGTTGCACGAATGGCTTCTTCATCCGTTCTAAGACCGACGCTAAGTGGAAGTTTTTGTACATTGCATTTCGTATATTAAGTGAGGTAAAAAGAGTTCACTCATTTAGGCAATAGGTACACGTATGCCATTCTAACAGAGTTGATCTATAAAACATCTAAGTGTAGTCATAATCACTTAACAATAGGAAGAATAATATCCAAGCAACCTAATGCCATATCTTCGATGAAATAACATCTCCAAAGCCTTAATTTGAGTTTTATTTTCGTGTATGTTAGAAGTAAGTGATAAATTCAATACGGTGGTATATGTAACTAACCATAACTAACCATTAGCAATACTGTGCTCCGTTATGGGTACAGCAAAAAGTGGAACAACTCACCAGAGTCTTTCTCTACGTCCGTAGACACTTGCGTGGGGGTAAAAGCCAATTCGTCCTCGATAGAGTTGGCTTTTACTCAGCTAGTACGCTTACATTAAACGACTATAGCGCCATTTACCACCAAGTGTCACAATGATTTAGTCTTCGCCCGTTCTTTAAACACAAACTATACTTATAAAACTTCCTCTATATTAATAGAAATAACATCGGAATGGTAAAAACATTTCGTAACAGTACACAATGAGTATAATTGAGATAAAAAATAATTGCGTAGACAATTCCATCTTTAAGTTTACATTAACAACTCGCATACGAAATAGGTTAATACATATTCCATTTCATGATCATTCCATAAAGTACTTCCATTTATACCGTTCATTGAATGTTCCCAAAAGCTCGTCGTTACAAGTCTCCGGAACACTGTACAAGTAGCTTACAAATGACTAGTTTTTATTCAAGCTATATTTTCTCATACTGTCCTTAAGGTTCGTTCAGAAATACATTTCGTACAACATTATTTCCCTAAATAGAATATTAGACGTGAAGTAATAATAGCGTCGACGTTATAAATTCAACGGTAGCCTTAAGCGAATGCGTTCGGATTGGCCTTAACAAGAATTTATGACTGAGAAGACAGGTATAGAAACAGCATCAAGTGCATTAAGCTTATCCAGGGTTGCCTTGAGGTTTTTTTTTAAATACAATTTATTACGACACATACATTAGTTGCTTGTTTGTGACAAAAAATAAAATTGTCGTTAAAAAAATCAACAATATGTTTCTGTAAATTAAACGAAAATGGTTACGATTACGACATTTGGTTTATGTAACAGCTTATATTGAAATGACTATGAAGATAAATGAGCAAATAGAACGTTTAAAATCTAAGAAACTAACTAAGTACCTACACAGAATTCTATGGCTCAATTAGGTCTGAAGACATGTTACGGTTTATTGTTATAACCATATAATATAGTGTTAATGAAAAATCTTAATGGGTAATATATATACCTATATCGATTTGACTGCGTAATTTCTTAATATATTGACGTGATAAAACAATTTTTCTAATGATATAATTTGAATATATACAAAATGGAAACTAAATGCCATACGATAGAGTTTAATAAGAATTGCTAAAAATGCAAAACAGAGTGGCTGCGCATCTCACCCAAAAAACGAAGTTGCCAATACTAGCAGCACCGAACATTGCTCAGCAGCTTGTCTATCAATATCACATTTTAAATTTTGTCTTATTAAAGTGCTGATTAGCACTCAAATTAAAGAACTATCCTGAATTTCAATAGCAGATGCAACAAAACCTCTCGTTCAAATATTCAATGTAAAAATTCGTTTGATAGTGTCGGCATACCGTAGTTGCTCATGAGGTGGCCGCAAACATAAAATTTTTAAATATAAAGTAGGTATTTGTTGGGATTTTTGTTCTTCTGCGGATGTAGGCCCGCTTAGTTCAGTCGCCTAGTGTATGGACGAGTTACCTTTAAGTATCAAATCTAATGCTAGACAGCGCAGAAAATGTTTCGACCATAAATCTTTTACAGTGACCGTCAAAAACTTATGCATTCGAGTTTAAACAATTAAAAATTTTAATAAAAATCGTCATATCGTCTTTCATATAAAAGAGAACAATTGAACAAAGGTTTAAAACTAACTTAGGACGGATTAAATGTAGATGATTTCATTTTGATTATTATTAAACAATAATTCTATAACGAATATTTGGCAAATTATTTATAAATCCTTAACAAAACCTGAACGTAAATACTTAAAACAAATGACAGCTAAAACTAAATGACAGATATTCTTTGTCTTCTTTTAAGATTGACCGAACAGGAAAATTTGTTTTATAGCTCGCAGCACTTTACGTGATTAATTTGGGTGATTCTAATGAATGCGATATTTTAAACACATATATGACAGATTGTTCACCAAGCAAATTCGCCAAGAATATCGTAAGGAAATATCGTCTTGTGTACCAAGACAACAATTGAGACAGTCGGCCCTATCGTACTAGGGATATTGGCAATAGACTTTGTCAATACCACAAAGGACTTGCAGTTATTGTATCTCAATTTATGGTTAAATTGTGATGAATGTGTTCTAAGTAATTAACCACGTTTCCCTTTCTACCCCGCGGCCTGTTTAAACTATTTGAATACTAAGTCTTAATAAGATTATTCGTCGGCATCATTGAACAGCAACATTTGGCTAACTTAATTTTGAGTTATATGATTAGACTGTCAATCGGTTTAAAGTCGTAGTTATAAATTTAATAGTTATTGCATAAAATACACATAGAACCTATGCTTAAAGGTATATATAATTAAAAAATCTGTCTGTAAAATAGTGAAAGACGACATAGATGTAAGCAATTAAAAATTATATTATCGTTACATCTGTGATATAAACGCTGCCATAACTAATATCCTTTTTGTCGAGTATGTCTAGAGATCCACGCCTTATTTGCTTCATAAATCGATAACACTAACCTTCTATAGTTCTCTTACGATTGACAAGTGATATAGCGTAGACAATCAGTATCGCCATCGTCGTCGAAGTAACGGACCAACTTACTTTATTTCAACTGGTGTTCTTGCTTTCAGTCTGCATTACATTAAAGCTTCGCAAAACCGGGCAATCGCTAACGCGGGCTAACCAGAACCCACAAGCTCGAGTTTCGGACTTAGGTTGGTCCGCCATAACGTATCGATTGACACAATTGCATCTCATTAAGGCAGATCGGCGCGGGGAGTGGAAAAAATCTCTCGCTCCGTAAGTAATAATTGACGGCTTAAAGTGGCGCGCTTTTCGCTGCGTCGCTTGGTGCAAATGGGGGGCGGAGACCCCGCCTCCCGAGGCGTAGGGAGGGCCGCGCCGTTCGCCTCGCCGGAGGAGGCCGGAGGGCCAGTCGCGTTCGCCGACGCGGAGCCAGCGCGCGTTGTGCGCGCGAAACGTCGCAAAGCGCGCCTCGAAACTAAACCCCACTGACGCAGACGTCATATGTCAAGCTTTAAAAAAAAAGCAGTTGCCGCGCCACCGCCTCTACGAACTGTCAAAATTCCCGCGCGTGACCCTCCGCTGTTGAACGGCACTTGAAACTTTGTCCCCTTTTTGTGTGTGCGGTTAGAAATAGCGCCGGCGGGTTGCGAAATGCCTCGTTTGTAATTTGATTCGCGGACAGTGAATTAAATATGTTTTGCATTAAGTCGAACGAGCGGCCCGACGCGGCGTGACAATGTTGAGCCCGCGCGGTAGCGTCGTTTTTAATTTTAAAAGTACGGCCGAGGGACCTACGGAAGATGGACTTGACAATGCGCCGCGGTGAGGAAGGCCAAGAAGACACTGCGGTACCTGTGGACGGTACGGGGCAGGTGTGCCTAATGAATGGAAGCCAAGCGTGCGAGGTGACCGCAATGGCACCCGACGTAACGCCACCCCCGAGGAAGACCAGTTCGTTTAGCATAAGGAATCTAGTCGGCGCTGAAGACACGGAACGGAGCGCCGACGGCAACGCTAACTCTAGCGATGGTGAGTTTTTTTTTCGCTTCCGACGCCTGTACATTATTTTGTATAACTGCATCTGTTTTTTTTATTGATTAGCAAAAAGTATATTAATTACATTAACTACCCAACTCTACTTCGTAATACTGTGTAACCTGTACATAGAGTTATTACCTTTTCGTTTTGTATGAAAGGTACTGCGCTTTAATTATATGTTTGCTTTTAGGTATTCTTTTTGCAAAAAAATTGAATTAATTTAAAAGATAAAAGTCTATGCGTCATAATAATTGTTTATGGAAAACAATATTTTATCTCCTTTATAATTAAGTACTTGCCCAAATCACAAATTTACAGTAGGTACAATAAAATTAAAAGATAAACATGTGTGCTTTATCATAATTGTCTTTGGAAAACAATGTTTTTTCTCCTCTATAATTACTTGCCCAAATCATACATTTACATGAAGTTAATTAATACGTTTATGAAATAAAATATGATTCCATAAAGTAAATTAAAAACCGGTTGTAATAAAGTTCATCAAATCAATTATTGCGCATTCTAAATTAAATAAACTTGATATTAAATCTTTTAATAATTCGGCTTTTCATAAAGTTCAAGCAGACTGCCACGTTTTAAATTAAGGAACGAATAAGGAAAGAATAAACTTCTTTTTAAATCTGCAATGAAGTTACTTTAGAAAGAAGCTTGAATGTTCTACCTAGTATCATATGAAGATTGGATGCTCACCATAATGTACGTACATAGTACCTAGGAATTATGAGTCGAAGTCTCCTCAAACATTGAACTCAAGAATCTTCAATTTATAGTCAGCTGATGCAACTACGTACAAGGCATCATTGTTTAGAGTGGTTGAGCTTTAATTATTTTACGACACTTCCTTGACACCAATCATTGATGATAAAACGATTATACGAATTCGCAGTAAATAATATAATAAATATCAAAGGACATAGGCTATTATAATAATTAATTTCGCGCTATAATTGACACGACCGACTGCAACAAGTTGACCCTGTATTTCTATATATAGTTACGATAAAATTCGATAAAACTTAAGCAAAGTTAAACATTTGGTTCAACTTTTAGCACACTCTTAAGACTGCTCCTACCGCATACTTCACGAAATTGATCTCAGAGCTGTTTAAAAACTAACTATTGTCGCATATTTCTTGAGATTGTAAGCATACTTAAAATTATCGATTTGATATGGCTCTTAAAACTGTAATGTAATAGTGGCCTTAAGCGGCAAAAATTTTACCCTAGTATATAAAAACACATGTATGCATAATGCTATGTAGATTCATTGTTCGTTTGTTAGAACCAATGTTTTTATATATAAATAAGATATATATATGACAAACATCGAAACTGAGGCATTCAAATTACGTCAATTGGTGTAATTAGAATGCAATTCTATTGACTGCCATCTTTTTCCGTATCATACGTTGTATATTATCTGTCATATTCACTTATGCCATAATCATAATATAATGTAAAGCGGAACAATTTTTCAAAAGCCGCGCAGTATGGGCAAGCGTCATCTATACAGATAAATAATATTGGAATGTCTGTTTGTAATATTAAAATAACCGTAATGCATATGCATGCGATATAGGTACCGTGTATACAACACGGTACATATACCAAAAAAACATTTTTTTACAATTTTTGTCTGTCGTGTTTGTTCCGGCTAATCTCTGAAACGGCTGGATCGAATTGGACTGGCAGAAAGCTAATATAATAAGGAGTAACTTAGGCTACTTTTATTTTAGATTTTTTTTAATTTAATATTTCACGCGGATGAAGTCGCGGGTCACAGCTAGTCTTTAACAAAACATTCGTTAGAACATAACGAGCTGGATGACAAGTGGATGACGCTAATTCTTTATTCCCCCGCCATTTCGAGAGAGGTATATAAATTACATGTTCAATTTTACTTTTGCACTTGCGAAAAAAAAATTAGAAAAAAAAAACGATTAGAACACGGCAATGACGGGGCGCATTTAGGGTTTAAAAGTTAAATTTGCAGATATCCACTCGGAGTTCGAATACCTCGCCGTACCAGTCCCCGTGACGTCACTCGCCCCTAACTAGACGCTTCCGGGATTAAATTGGTCCGCCCCGCACACCGATTAAGGGCCTGGCGGACCACGACACCGGGCGAGCTTTCCTTTTAATTGCAAAGAAAAGGTTAACCGAAGGACACATACATAGACGAATCGATAGGCTTAGTGGGTAGCTTAGTGGGTAGCGGTAACCTGCCTTTTCGCTAGAGTGTGGGTTCGATTCCCAACACTGAAAAAATATTGTGTGATAAACATAGTGTTTAGTGTCTGGGTTTTTTATATTTATGATATGTTAAATACATATTTACAAAAAAAAACTATGTTTAAGTATTTAATCATTTATCTAGTAACCATAGTACAAGCATTGCTTAGTTTGGGACTAGAGAACGTTGTGTTAAAATGTGTCCTGAAATATCGATTTCTTTTATTTATAGATTCCAGTTTATCAAACTTAGGTCTTTACTTTTTAACTACACACAGTGGTAGAGCCGCGCTTTTTGAAGTTCCGTTATGACCAGCTTAACTCTCGAACTGTCGGCTTCAGAGAAGATCGGCGTAAGGTAGAAATGTTAGTACTTAAATCTTTTTTCAGATTAATGAACTAATTTTTAATTGTCTTATAAAATAACGAATACATAATTTATTGTCTTTTCGATTTTGTTTGTGCTGGGAAATAAACAAGTCACTGGGCTCGCGAAAAATTATATATTAATCAGATGATAGAAATCTAATTTACGCAAATAATTTTTCTAACTGAACGTATTACATTATTCTCTTAAAACATAAAACTTTAACCCCGTAATAGTGTATATAACTTTAAACTATAATTGTAGCGTTATATAGATATTTATTACCATTAGTATCATGGACAAACACTCGGCGCAATTATCTGCAGATCACAACGTATAACCAACACATCATCATACGGGGCATCGAACCTACGACCCGTCGATGCCGGGGCCATCGACATGTCAATTGAGTGGATGCTATGCGCCGACGGAGCGAGGCGCGATCTTCACAAGGTCGTCGACTCATCGATAGCAGGGGTTGAGAATCACCTGGAAAGAACGACTTACAAGTCGCTCTTTGTTTACTTAGTGTTCGATTCTACCTTAACGTTTCAGCATTCAAACATATCACGTAAACATATCACGTAAACATATAACATATTGGAAGGAGGTTAAAAATGATTATTTATTATTGATTTTCTAAAATATTTGAGAGGTATGATCGTATATATTTGTGGTAGGGCTACGCAACAGCTTCTGTTGTTGCACAAATGGGCAGGCGCGACGATGTTTTGGATCTTATCTTTATTTTAATCACAAGGAAATATTTCACCTAAAATTATATTTATACATAAAATATCACACGAAGAGCTTTGCATACTACAAGTAAAGGAAAGGTATATCATTCAAAACCTTATGTAATAAACTATTGCGTGACGATAGTCATAGAGTACTGTGAACGTACGTGTAATTTGTGATTGAACACACAAATTATTAAACTATTATTACATGTCTTTACAGAGTGCCTAAACTAATAACATCTCACTATTTGACAATAAGCTTCAAATTAGTTTACGCGAGTGTTTTAAAAATAAACAAAAAATATTTCATATGATGATTTCAATATTGATAAACGGAAAAACATAAAGTGACATTAGACTTCTGTAATCTCTTATTAAGTGTTTATTTATTGTTAAAAGAACTAATAAGACTGAAAAGTAACACATGCATAGACAAACAAGTTGATAACTTACGATCATCAGACCACAATGACCAGTTGTATAAATATCCTGTTGCGAAAAAAGTCTCTTGTGACACATGTCGACGAAGTCGTCTTATTGTCGAGAAAATATGGATAAACGTTATTCGTACATTGAGTCACTATCATTTTCTGAGGTGCAGGCATGTAGCAGATGAATACAGGTAATAATGCCCACAATAAATTTATAGAAACTTTTAAATTAATTTATGATTTGTGTTCTCCTATTAACACCATATTTATCAAATTAAACAAACGGTTAAATGGCTGATTAAAAGCATCACATAATGTCCCAAAATTCAGACAAAGATGTTATTATCAATATTCACAGCAATCAAAACTTCTATTAAAAACATAATATACACAGAGACGTAAAAATTATTTTTTTAAACCAAAAGGCGGAAAGCGAGCTGAAGGTTCAGTTCAGATGATGTTCAGTGATAATCGCCGCTTTGCAGATTTGGAACACCCTTAGGATTGTAGATGCGTTGCCACCTTTTATTAAAGTAGGCTCCGGTTACCTCACTCATCAGACGAAACGCAGAACTGCAACACTTCTACTTTACGCCGGCCTGAAATGGAAGTGTTACATTTCCGCGTGAGGTAGCCGGGGCCTACTTTATGGATATAACTTATTATAGAATAAAGTTATCAAATAACAAAGCATTATGGCAAATTAATTATCAATGGCAATAAAAGAATTCAACCACAAGAATAAATTGCGAAAATAAACTCTACAGTTACTATCCAACTGACATTCAATATCATTTTATATTAAAAGATAACAATATAAGAGGGTAAATTGTTATAGGATTGTCGACATATTAACTCTTCAGACTTTTCACTCTTCTATATATATATAAAAACAAAAGTAACTTATATTTACCTACACATTTTAACACAACCGGTTATTAACGTAACAGTTATCCTTAAGTCACTTATTAATAATGGTGAAAGGGAAAACGAGTACTCTGTGTTATTATATAAGTAATAAAATAGCACAGAGCAGTTTTAATAAAACATCATAACTTAGATAAATAGGCGCGTAGGTAGTAGGTGCAGTTTTATGAATGCGCAGCAGTGAAAAAAACAGGGTACAATAAAAGCGGGAAGACGGTTTGCGGAGCGAGTTGTAAAAAAGCTAATGAATGCAAATGATAGTTATGCAATAACACGTTATCGTTGTCATCTACACTAGGGCTTGCTTTCTGAATTGACTTGCAAAATGACGCTCCCCTAGCGATGGAAATTGAACCAATTAATTGCGTTTCCGTTAGCGGAATATCAAATGTCGCCGATTCTATTCGACTTACGTTCGAAAGTCACGATAGGGAAGAAATTCTCGCCGAGTACGCGGTCCACGCTCTTTGAAGAGAACTGTATGGGGTTCCAATCAATATTGAATTACTTTATTGAGCAAATGAGTGAGCGACGCAATCGCAACGACGGAGGATATACAAAGCGTTTTTAGCCTTTATGATGATCACGTGTTTTGTATTTTAGAAAGCAAGCGTTTTATAATTTAACTAACGGACCGGACACACGTTGTCCTGTACACACGACTTAAATTCGATAACTTAGAAATAAAAAAAATGTAATGTAACGAATGTGAATCTAAACCATTCTCGAATCGACCTGAAGACAAATAAAAAAATCATAAAAATCTGTCCAGCTGTTTAGGAGTTCAGTGACATACTCACGTACAGAAGAATTATATATATATATATATATATAAATATTACAAAACTTTTTTGTCTTTTAGGTATGTCGTGCTGTATAACTTATTACAAGCGAAATTCTAATCTTCACTTTTTTTCGACACTCTACAGGTCCGATGGCGCCCTCTTGTTGTCTCACACTAACACATCTCTACCTCTTCTCAGTTTCACTTTTCCATTTCTTCTCTACACTTGTGTTCACCACTGAACAGCTTTCTACGCTCCGTGCCCTTTTTATTGGCCGGAACTTCGACCGTCGCACTATAGGACAAAACCATCTCGAAAATCTGTAACTTTTTTGTTTCTCGTTATTTTGACATGAATTTTTGGTATAAGCAATCTTGAATAGCTACGTTACAATAAACTTAGCAAGTTAATTTATATTTCTTAATAATTTTTAAAAAGAAAATTTCAAACATAACTTAAGACAATATTTTTTTTTGTTATTGTACATAATATTTAATGCAATATACAAAACGTTTTAAGAATTATTTAACAAAGAAAAATTTATATGGATAAAAATTACCGCATCTGATTGGAAAACTACCCACTGTTATTCTTATCATAGTTTAGTTCACCGCAACAAAAATCTATTTGTTTTTTTTTAAAGTAAAGATGTATATTGAATTTTGATAACAAGTAAATAATAATAGACAACTAATAATAATAAAGCCATAACAATAATACGATAAAAACGTAAAATTCGTTTTGATAAAATATTACCTCAGTTGACACTTTTGCCTATAGCTTAAAAAGGCGCAGAAATGACGCAGGTTTTTTTTACTTCCTTAGAATTCTGAATAATTAAGGATTACAAAAATGATAAACCTCAGCAACTTTCGGCAACAACGAAAACCCTATTTGAAAATTACAGAGATGGTAAAATTCCTTGCTTCACGACAATTTTTTTTGATAATTTACAGATTTTTTAACCGAATTTAACCTCTCTAATAATATATAATAAGTACTCTTTAATTTTAATGGATACTTAAAAATTATCACGTGTCAAACTTCAGGACGAGATCATGTAGTAAGTAAAAAATTATGAAAGTTCAGGTTTTCTGTGCAAATTAATGAGGTAAATCTGATTTATATTTTATTTCATCTAGACTATCCGAAAGTTCCTTTATTCAGGAATATAACGCAACCAAAAATACAACTGTACCACGATTTTGGCCCAAACCATTTTCAAGATGGTTTACATCGTTCTGTCCCTTAGTGCGTCGTTCGAGTTTTCTTATATAGGAACTTTTTACATTAGCAATTTAAAATAGATAATATTCCAAAACTATCAAGTCAAAACGTTGTCAATCAAGACGTCAGCCGATTAACCGTAACGATATTATAGTTAAAAAATAAATTGTTTTCCATCCAGCATATCCGCTGTAAGAGCGCACAAATGTTGAGAAACCTATTGCAATATTTTGTAAACTGTTTGACCACCTGCTTATTAAAAATACATCCATTGTTCTATGTAAATTGATGGCCCGGTGGGCGTAGCGATGGAAGAGCTCCTGCATCGCCGTGAATTCAATTTCCA